GCCCCCCTGCCATGAGCAGGGAACCCACCCACTAGACCAGGCTGCACAAACCTCATCCAACCTGGCCTTAAAAACCTCCAGGGATGGGGCATCAACAACCTCCCTGGGCAACCCATTCCAGTTCCTCACCACCCTTAGAGTGAGGAATTTCTTCTGATATCCAACCTAAATCTCCCCTCTCTCAGTTTAAAACCATCACCCCTTGTCCTATCACTGTCTTCTCTGACGAAAAGCCCCTCCCCAGCTTTCCTGGAGCCCCTTCAGGCACCGGAAGGTGCTCTAAGGTCTGTTTCCTGGCATCTGGGGGTTTTTTGTGGTGTGAGTTTGCAGCAGGAGGAGATGAGAGTTAGACTGTGAATCCAGATTAATCCCTTGGGAGATTTTGAGGCAAAATCAATGTATTTTCTTTATTTACCCGGAACTGTGAATCATTGCCACCAAAAAAAAAACAACCAACAAAAATTTTTGGGGCAAAATTCCATCACTTCAGGAAGCATCTGTGTCATTTTTTCCCTCCTCTCCTGCCTGGGGTGATGCCACCAGCTTTTCCCCACCCCTTTTCCTGGCAGATGCCAGAAGCAGGGGGGTGGGTGGGATGGAGGAGGCTCCTCCAGGATCCCAACAACCGGGAAAAGCAGCTTCGGTGGCGGCTGCTGAGGAGGCCTGATCCTGGTTATCCAAGCTCAGGCTTTATATTCTCATGGCTTTTGGACTAGACAGGCAGTCAACAGCCCAACCCCACCAATGGAAGAGGCTCTGGCATATTTATACTCTTTGCTGGCATTGGTTCATTCAAAAAGAAAAAAAGGGAAAAGAGGAAAAAAAATAATCCCGGATTACCTAGGACTGGTCCTTGAGGTCTGGTCACCCCATGTCATTGAAAAACCTTGTGGGATTCATTCATGAACTTCCAGCCTTCCATAAAGGTCTGTTCATTCATAGCCAAGACAGTTGTTTTTGTTTAGGGTTTTGTTTTTTTTTAATATATATATATTTTTTTTAATTCCAAGTTGTTTTTTGTTTCTTTTTGCTTCAAGTTCTTTTTAAAATCTGCCAATTCAATAAGGTTTCATAAGCACCCACGAGCTGCTTTTTAAGTGGTCTTCCCTAATGCAAGCACAAAGAGCAGGTGAAAAACTTCTTCACTCCCACCTCCTCCTGAAAGGGATGTTTGGATGTCCAGCTAAATACAAACCTACAGGAATTTTTACCAGGGTTAATTTTTCCTCCAGAATTCCTTCAACTGCTGTAAAACACAAGAGCCAAGAGCATTGTTGGCATTGGTGGGCAGGGTGCAGTGGAGGTGAGGTGTTGGGTGGCCAGGGTGGAGGTGGGTCCAGAAGCATCTTCCCCCTTGACTGAGGAGCGTTATCCCCCTGGATCCTGGGAGATCATCCCCTTGGACCAGGGGAATTATCCCCTTGGATTCAGGAGCATCTTCCCCCTTGACTGAGGAACATTGTCCCCCTGGATCCAGGAGCATTATGGCTCCCTGGATCCTGAGGGATCATCCCCTTGCACCAGGGGAATTATCCTCTCGGATCAAGGAGCATCATCCCCCTGGATCCAGGAGCATATCCTCCGCCCCCAGATCTGGGGCATTTTCCCCCCATGGATCTTTGGACACCATTCCCCTGGATTCAGGAGCATCTCTGCTCCCCTGGATCCAAGAACATACTTGGCCCTGGATCCAAGAGCATTTTCCCTCCATGGATCCTGGGGCATCATCCCCCTGGATCCAGGAGCATCCCCCATGCCCCTGAATCCAGAGTATTTTCCCCCCATGGATCCTGGGACACCATTCCCCTGGATCTAGAAGCAATATTTCCTCCCTGGATCCAGGACACCCCTGCCAATATCCAGGAGCTTTCCTTCCACCTAGATTCATATGCATCACAGCCCCAGATCCAGGAGCATCCCCCCCCAAGATTCCTCTTATCTCCCAGGGAAACACTGTCCTGGGGGTGCTTCTTGCCCTGCCAGGAGCACCCTTGGGTGAAGGGCACCCCATTTGGCTTAGGGGGGAGGTAACCCCAGCCACCAAGCCTGTCCCCCCTCAGTACCGGCTTTCACCAGGATACAGGGTTCTCCACAAGAAAATCTCGGAAGGCACCAACAAGGGGGGACAAACCAGGGCATACCTTGATAGATACTGTCCCAGGGATCACCCCCCCCACTGCCAGGACCCCATCCCTGGATTCACCCAGAATGGAGGGTCCCTATTTGTTGTGGACAAGTTCTCCATGAGACAGCAGAGTTTTTGTGGCCAAGAAGGACAATGGTATCTTGGGGTACATTAAGAAGAGTGTGTCCAATAGATTGAGAGAGGTTCTCCTCTAACTCTGCCCTAGTGAGACCTCACCTAGAGTGTTGTGTCCAGTTCTGGGCTCCCCAGTTCAAGAGGGACAGGGATCTACTGGAGAGAGACCAACAAAGGGCTATAAGGATAATGAAGGGACTGGAACATCTGTCTGATGAGGAAAGGCTGAGAGACCTGGGGCTGTTCAGTCTAGAGAGGAGAAGACTGAGGGGGGATCTAATTAATGTCTATCAATACATGAGGGCATCAAGAAGGCAGGGACAACCTCTTGTCACTTGTGCCCTGTGACAGGACAAGGGGCAATGGATTCAAACTTGAGACCAGCAAGTTCCACCTCATCATGAGGAAGAACTTCTTTCCTGGGAGGGTGACAGAGCCCTGGGACAGGCTGCCCAGAGAGGTTGTGGAGTCTCCTTCTCTGGAGACTTTCCAGATCTGTCTGGATGCCTTTCTGAGGGATCTGCCCTAGATTTGGTCCTGCTCTGGCAGAGGGGTGGACTTCATCATCTTCAGAGGTCCCTTCCAACCCTGGCCGTTCAGTGATGCTGTGATTCTGGGCTGTACACGGGCCCATTTTTAGTAGCTGCCTCCAGCAACTGGAGAAATATTTTCCCTGCTGGCAGGGAAATGAGGAAATTCAAAGTGTGTGGCTGGGTTTGCTTTTTTTAATTCCATTTTTTGGTGTTTTATTTATGTATTTATTTATTTTGCTTTTTAAAAGCACAGTGCAGGGCTTGAAGCACCATGAGGAGGGGGGAGAAGAAAAACCTCCCTGTGCTGGGGAAATGGGCTTAGAGAAAACAGGGCAGGCAGCAATTCTGGGGTGGGGTGATGGGGTTTGGGGTTTTGGAGAGATTTGGGGTGCTGGGTCTCCCCCACTCCGGTGGTGCAGGGGATGGTTTTGGTAGGAATCACTAATAGACATTCTCAACTTGATTTTTGTTCTTTAAAATACAGTTTGGGTTGGTGTTATTTTTATTAACGATGATTTGGTCTAATGAGGAGCAGCTGAGGGAGCTGGGGGTGTCCAGCCTGGAGCAAAGGAGGCTGAGGGGACACCTGCTGGCTCTGCAACTGCCTGAGAGGAGGTTGGAGCCAGGGGGGTCGGGCTCTGCTCCCCAGGAACAAGGGATGGGACAAGAGGAAATGGGCTCCAGTGGTGCCAGGGGAGGTTGAGATTGGATCTTGGGCAGCATTTCTTGCTGGCCAGGGTTGTCAGGCCCTGGCCCAGGCTGCCCAGGGCAGGGCTGGAGTCCCCATCCCTGGAGGGGTTTCCAAGCCGTGTAGATGTGGTGCTGAGGGCCATGGGTCAGTGGTGGCCTGGGCAGGGCTGGGGGAATGGTTGGACTGGATGATCTTGGAGGTCTTTTCCAACCTTGATGATCCTATGATTCTGTGATCCTAATTCTAGAGATGAATAGTTCCCAAGTCTTAACATGCCTACAGAGGCTTGAAGGAATCATCTCTCATGAAAAGGGTTTTTTTTCCTATTCCTCACCACCACCCCCACCTCCCACTCCCCTCATGGTTTTTCCTCATGGCTCACCCGGGCTAACTACTGGCAAGGAAGTGAGAGGAACACATTTCTGGAATTTTTGGAGGGGTTTTTTTAGGGTATTTTTGTGGACTTCTCTGGGAATGACCAGATGGTTTGGGTTGGAAGGGACTGTAAAGATCATCTAGTTCCAGGTGTGAGGTGTCTGGTCCCTACCCTGCCACTGTTTGATGGTGCTTCCTGCAGGTTGGGGCTTCATCCAACATCTCCATCCTTTCCATCACCCAGGCTCTGATTACAAGCAGGGAAGAGCCCCATGAACTAGAGCAAGCAAGTCCTTGTCACCTCCATGGGGTGACCTTCAGTGTGCTTTTCTAAACAGCACCTCATTTGTTTTTTTGGCATCTTCACAGGAGGTATTTATGGAAATGGATCCATGATCTGGTGGATGGAAATAAGGGGTTGCAGGGTGTTTGGTCCTGCTGGAGGCAGCTGGCTGCAGCATCTCATCCTCCTCTGTTGGCACTGAAGGTGGTCCTGGTGAAGGTTTAGGTGAGGGATGGCTGCGCCATGGATGCTGCTTGTGTGTCTCAAGCCACTTCTGAAGGTGGACCTGGTAATTTAGGACCCATAATTCCAACCAGAGCTAGGCACTCAAGCAACATAGGAGCCCTCCAGACCAGAGTCAACTGAAATGGTGGCCTTATCATGTGGCTTTTGGAAATGATTCATGTGCATTGGTGTGTGCATGGAGACCATCATGAATCACAGAATTACCTTGGTTGGAAAAGACCTTCAAGGTCATCAAGTCCAACTGTTGACCTAACACTGATAAGTCTTTAACTAAACCGTATCCCTCAGTTCTGTCTGTATGACTCCTAAATGACTTCAGTGACTCCACCACTGCCCTGGGCAGCCTGTTCCAATGCCTTTTGGGGAAGAAACTCCTTCTAATATACAATCTAAACCTTTCCTGACACAACTTGAGGCCGTTTCCTCTTGTTCTATCACATCAAACTTCATTGAGCAGACCCACCTCTTTCTAACCTCCTTCAAGGTAGTGGTAGAGCACGAGGAGGTCACGAGCAGTCAAGGACCTTCCAGTGTTGTGGAACCTTTCAACCTTTTGGGTTGTATTCCTGCCCCCAGTGCTTAAATTTCTCCTTCCTTGTTTTCCTTCTATAGATTCCCAAGTTCTTCAGGAGCCCGGGGATCGATCACACTGGTGCGTGGTGGCATACTGGGAAGAGAAGACTCGTGTGGGTCGGCTGTACTCTGTCCAAGAGCCCTCCCTGGATATCTTCTATGATCTACCTCAGGGGAATGGTTTCTGCCTCGGACAGCTCAACTCAGACAACAAAAGCCAGCTGGTGCAGAAGGTCCGGAGCAAGATTGGCTATGGCATCCAGCTCACCAAGGAAGTGGACGGCGTGTGGGTGTACAACCGCAGCAGTTACCCCATCTTCATCAAGTCGGCCACACTGGACAACCCCGATTCCAGGACGTTGTTGGTTCACAAAGTGTTCCCGGGTTTTTCCATCAAGGCTTTTGACTACGAGAAGGCCTACAGCTTGCAGAGACCCAACGACCACGAGTTCATGCAGCAACCATGGACCGGATTTACTGTCCAGATCAGCTTTGTGAAAGGCTGGGGCCAGTGCTACACCAGACAGTTCATCAGCAGTTGCCCGTGCTGGTTGGAGGTTATTTTTAATAACCGATGACTCGAGACAGAGTAGACTCATGACATTTATACTACTTTGCTGCTATTATTTCCTTCTGAGTGCTTGCTTTTCATGCAACCTTTTTGGGTTTTTGTTTCGTTTTGTTTGTTTGTTCTGTTTGTTTTTCCCTGTGTTTTTTTGAGGAATAGCTTATGGGAAGATTTTTTTCTTTGTTAATTTTTATTTTATTTTTTATTTGTTTTGCCTTGGGGTATTTTGATAACTCTTTTCTTTTTTTTTCGAAGTGTGAATGACCAATTACTCAGAAGGGCAAGGGAAGGGTGCAAGGGGAGGGGGATGGATGGATGGATGGTGGATGGATTGCACATGATAATTATTTCACACCTCTGAAAGGATTATCCAGTGCAACCATCCCCGGGTTTGGAAGCCACATGCTACATGTTACAGCTCCTTCTCTTGGATGAAACAACAAGATACCTGTTATTTTTTTAATTTTTCTCCCCTTTTGCTGCCAGCCACCCCCCGGTGACGGTGACACTGAGAGCCCTTCCCCAGCGGTGCTAAACCCCACGTTGCTGCTGAAGGATGGTGCAAAATCTCCCCACCCGGATCTTTCAACCCACCCTTTTCATTTGTATTTATTTATTTTTTTTGGTCTTGTTGCTGGGTTCATGTCTCATCCCTGTGTTCATCCTTCCACTGCTTTGTTGGTTTGGTTTTTTTGTGTTCCTTCTTTTTATGGTCATGGATTGAGAAGACAACAACCTCGTGCTTCATCGCTCGAGCCCGAAGCGCGAAGCGACAGAAGCTGAAGCCTCAAAAGAAAATGCTAAAAAAACCACCCCATCAAAATCAACAAACCAAATGAAAAAAACAAAAGGGGAAAAAAAAGAAGTGTTCACAATAGCTGGGCTGTTGTCACCTGCTTCCATCAGGTTATCCCGGTACCATCCTATCTGGAAATGCAGTTGTGCTTTTCATTTCTTCTTGAATTCATACACAAGTATGATACTTTTACACTGTTCTTAGCTCAATGAGCATGTTTAGATCTTAACAGAAGCTATTTTTCTAAAGATAAAGGTTTAAATGAACAAGAGAGCATCTTCATTGGAACTTTTAGCATTGTAGTGCTTTGGAAAACAAAAAACAACCAACATAACAAACCACACACACACACATACAAAAAAGGACTCCTTGAACCTCCTCCCTTGTGAGATTTATTAAAGAAAAAAAAAGTATTTTATGTTATATATAAATATATTATTACTTGTAAATACAAAGACGTTTTATAAGCATCATTATTTATGTATTGTGCAATGTGTATAAACGAGAAGAGAAAAAATAAGATGCACTTTGCTTTAATATAAATGCAAATAACAAATGCCAAATGAAAATGGAAAAAAGAGAAAAAAAAAAGAACAACAAAAAAAGAACATGAGATTGGTGTTTCCTTTTTTTTTTCTTATGGATGTTTTTCATCCAGATGAATGTTTTGGGTTTTGTGTTTTTGTTTTTTTTTCTAAAGGAGTTTTATGTTCCATTAAAAAATAAAAACCTACACTTGATCCCAGGTTGTGGCAAGTGGCTTTTTCAGTGTGGCAAGAAAGATGCTGCTCTAGGTGGGGCCCATGTGGGGTTGATGGTGGGAACACTTCACCCCAGTCTTGTGTGGGACTTCTCCAGTGTGGGTAGCATCCAGATTGGGTCACTCCTGAGTTTTGGGTTCCTTTGGGCTGATTTGGTGCACCCAATGAGTCCAAGTCTGGAGGGGTTAGTTGGATCTGGGCAGGTTGCACAGGGATGCCCAAAATCATCTGGGGTATTCTTGCTACTCCTGTTTCTCATTGTTTCAACTTGAAAGAACCATCCTGCTCCCATTTGACACTCCTCCAGTCCCTGAGATACCAGGGGAGGCCAAGCTTCTGCTCTGTGCTGGGACACAGGTGGCCTGTGCCACCAAGTGTGGAGGAAAACATGGGGAGAAGGGGAGAAAACCAGTCCTTGGTGGGTTTTCCTCAACTATTACCTGTCTTCCTCATCTCCCATGCCTCTGGAATTAAAGATTTTTTTTCCTTTTGCCCCACCCTGCCTTCAGACCTTCACAGCTCCACTGCATGGAGAAGGTCCCTGAAGCCTCTTGTGGATAGGGACCTTGATTGGAACCACCAGACTCCTGGAAATGGAAGGATTTGAAGAGGTAGAAGGTCCAGAAGGGCTTGTAAGCTTCCTCCCTGCCAAAGCATCTCAACACCAGGAATGTGACTTCCAGCCTCTGCTGTCCTTCATGTGGTTGATAGCAGTAGATCAGGCTTTGTGGACATCTGGACCAGATTCACTCAAGGCTATACCTTTCTGTTCAATATTGGCCCAACCCAGAAGGATTTATTGAGATACTATATCTGGTTTGCTCTGAATGGACTGTGCCTTCAGCTGTATTCATGTCATGGAGCCCATGAACCAGCTTCAAAATGGTTTGGGATCATGACTGAGTGTGGTTTGCATGGCAGTTTCAATTTCCAAGCTCTCACCTCATCCTTCATGTGAGAGTCAGCATGGAAGGCTTGAGGACATGATGGATGCACCCACCCTGCCTTGCTTGATAAGCAACACAAGATACCTGGAAGGGCAGATGTTGGGACAGTGGCACCTACACTATAATTTGGCTCCTTTTCTTTCCATTCTGTGCCAGCAGACTTGAAATACCCAGAAACTACATCAAACCTTCTCCATTGGTCCAGCAGCCAAACTGGCATTGATGGTTTGCATCAGAAGCTGAAGAAAGAGTGCACCCACCCATGTCCTCAACATCCACCCAGGCAACCCAGCATGAAAGGCCCAGCAGATGAGGAATAAAGCAGGAGAGTTTATTGCAAAACTGCCTGTTGACTCCTCTGAGCTTTTGTAGCATTTCTCTGAAGGACTATGGACCTTGGGTTAGAAGGTTCTCTCTAGATCTAGGAGCCACCGGGTCAGTGGTCACACTAGAGTTATGGTCAGCTGCCTGAGAAGTTGGCTTTTATTTTAGAGTACCCAAAGGGTAGAGAAAGTTGGGACTCACTCATACTTCTCCTCCCCTCTCCAAGCTGTTGTGCTGGCAACTAAAGTGTGGTTCTTTATCCAGAAGAGATGAGATGAGGGCTTGTCTTTGAGGTACCACACCAAAGTAGCAGCAAGCCATGTAGGCACACCAGAGATGTTTTGCAGATGTATTCACCTTATTCCATGAAGTGGGTACCACCTCATGTTGGTTAAAGCCCCAAAACTTTGAGATCTGGGCTCTTGTCCCTGCTTGTTGGCCCATGAGATGTGACCTAATCATCTAGCCTTGTTTCTCAGGTGTCACAGTTTGACTCAGGTCCGACAACAATGCTCTCGATCCCCTCCCCCTCCCACCCAGGTAGGGAAGGAGAGAGAGAAAAAGAGAGAGACTTGGCTGGATTGAAAACTAAACTACACAGTTTTAATTAAAACACTAATGAATCATACAAGAAAATATATACAATTATGTACAGATATGTTCAGGAATGGGCAAAAGCCTCTCGCCTCCCCCCACCCCAGCAACTCCCACAGCACTTCCCTGAACTGGGAAGAGTCCCGAGGAATCCCGAAGCTGCTGCT